CCCGTCCGGCCGGAGCCAGCGCGGAGGTGTGGCCCGCGCGTTCCTTTCGCCGCGGCCCCCTCTGAGTCGCGCTTCCCCCGCACACCTGCTCCTTTCATCCCTCCAGGTCGGCCGCCACGTCGGCTCTGTTGCCCAGACCGGAAACCTGGAAGCCACCCTAGGTTTCCTCCCCTTCATCTTCAGCCCTCCTCCAGTAATTCACCCGGTCGAATTGCTTTTCCCTTCTCCCTATTATTATTCCCCCCCCGGACGCCATCGGTTATAAAACTCACTGTTCTTTTACGTCCCGTTAACAACAACCAAAAAAAGGTTGCAAAAAAACTATAACTGCTTTCTTACCGCTGATAACTTTTATTTTACGTGTCTTGAAAGTGTAGCTTGTGTATACATAAAGATTTGTGTCATATTTCACTCTTAGGTATACATAAAAAGGGAAATAGGAAAGACAGATGTGACCGTATTCCTAAAACGTAGCATTCAGAGACTGATTCTCAGTGATTCGGGATTTCAGTCTTAGATGTCCATGAAATTCCACACAGTGTGGTCCTCTGTCCACGCCATCAAGGGCTTTGGGTTTGCGGCATTTCCCAAGAGTGTTCCTGGTCTGTCTCTGGAATTTTCTTCCAACCCTGACACCCATTTTGTGAGGTTTGATGTTCATGAGCAGATATGACAAATACAGCTGGACTACTGTCTGACTGATTGCTATAGTGAAACATCCCAATTTAGGAGATGTTGAAAGCCTGGGGGTGTGGGGATGGGGAGAGGAAGTGCCTCCTAGAATCAATGAAGTATAGTGTAATTCTGTTTCCAGTCTTGCCATCCCGTACATCCATTTCCTAAGAAACCATCAGAGTGATCTAGCCAAATGTTACAAGCATTCTTTTTTTTTTTTTTAGATTAGAAAATACAGTTTATTTAAAAACTAAATTAGGGAAAGGAGATTCACCTCCCCAAAGCAGGGGAGGAGACCAAAGCCAGTAAACAAGACCTGGCCATAGCTCAAAGTTTAGCAAGGCAATGGCCCCCCCTTTTTTTTTTTTTTTTTTTTTTTTGCATTAGGGTCTCACTCTGTCACGCAGGCCAGAGTGCAGTGGCACGCTCCTGGCCTCCACAACCTCAGCCTGCCGGACCCAGGGGATTCTTCCGCCTCAGCCTTCCTCGGAGTAGCTGGAACTACAGGCATGCACCACAACGCCTGGCTGATTTTTTCATTTATTGTAGAGATGAGTCTGGTCTCAAACCCGTAGTCTCAGGCAATCCTCTCACCTCGGCCTCCCAAAATACTGGGATTATAGGTGTGAACCTCTGCACCCAGCCCACAACCATTCCTTTTTTTTTTTTTTTTGAGTCAGAGTTTCACTCTTGCCCAGGCAGGAGTGCAGCAGCACAGTCACAGCCACCGCAGCCTCAACCTGCTGGATTCAGGCGATCCTTCTGCCTCAGCCTTCCAAGTAGTTGGAACTGCAGGTGCTCACCACCATGCCTGGCTAATTCTTTTTTGATTTATTGTAGAGACGAGGTCTCACCAAGTTGCCCAGGCTGGTCTTGAACCCATGGGCCTTCCAAAGTGCTGGGATTACAGGCTCTTAAAAAATTGCTCTTATCTCATCCTCTCCTGAAACCCCATCAGAATGACAGTTTGGAAAATTTAAAAACAAGTTATAAGCCTCCAAAGACAAAAAGAATGGGAGGAAGTATTTCTGGCAGTGTGAACATCCAAGTATCCCCATCGAACTTAAAATCACCAGATTTTTAAAAAATTAAGACTTTTTCTAACTTTTTATTTTCAAATTATTATAGACTCATATGAGATGGCAAAAAAAAAATGCAAACAGATAGGCAACCTCCTCAGGTTCCCTCCCACTCTGGGAGCTTTAATGTCCTTTCAGTAAAACCTTAAAAAAAAATTCAGCGGGGCTGGGTGGCTCAGGCTGTAATCCCTCACTTTGGGAGGCTGAGATGAGTGGATTGCCTGAGCCTGCGAGTTCGAGACCCGTCTGGGCAACTTGGTGAGACTTCATCTCTACAATAAATCAAAAAATTAGCCGGGTGTG